TTTTTGGTATAGGGAATTGAACTCAGGACCCTTGTGTTTGCAAAGCAGGTGGCGGAATCCCTGAGCTAAATCCCTCGTCCAGCAGCCCTACTTCTTGATAGCCATTTTCTTAGTCCATTTGTAGCTACTATCACAAAATCCCATGGACTGGCTAATTTATAAGCAATAGAAGTTTATGTGGCTCCCAGTCCCAGAAGCTGGAAAGTCCAAGAGTACAGCCACAGTATCTGGCATGGGTTTTTACTCTGTGTCATCCCATGGTGGAAGGGCCGGTGAGTGCACATAAGGCAGAGAGAAAAATCAAGCCAGAATCATCTTTTTACTCAGGGACCCAGCACTCATGACCTAATCAGAAGTCCCACTTAATGTCACAATGGCAATTAAATTTTATCCTAAGTCTTGCAGGGTCTATTGTGCTTCCTAGAAACTGATGGCAACTTTCATGGCTGTCAGCAGGTAAAAAATAGGCCACAGCATTATGAGGCCCTGTCTCTTTGAGTTTGCTGTTCTTAAGCACAGGTTCATAAGAGGCACATGTTAAACCACAAGACACAAGTGCAAGGATCTTGGATAAACTTTCAGTGTCTTTTTGTTTTGTTTTTTGAGACAGAGCTTCCCTATGTAACTCAAACTGGCCTTGAACTTTCTGCAGTCCTCCTGCCTCAGCCTCCTGAGTTCTGGGATTACAGGCATGTGCTACCACACCCAGATAAATTTTGAGTGTCTTTTTGTTCTTTTGGTCCTGGTGACTGAACTCAGAGCCTCACACAGCTATGCTAGTCACATTTTCTACCGCTGAACTGTACTCTTAATCTACTTTCAGTTTCTTAATTTTTTTATTTTCTGGTTTTTTTAGACAGGGTCTCACTATGTAGTTGAGTCTGACCTGGAACTCACTATGTAGCCCAGGCTGGTCTCGAACTCACAGTGATCCTCCTGCCTCAGCCTCCCAAGTGCTGGGATTACAGGCGTACACCACCACACCTGGACACTTTCAGTGTCTTAAAATGACATTATGAGTTGGCTAACCATGCTCTACAAGAGGAGGGTAAATGTAAAGAAATATCTTTAGCTAGTTTAAAATAAAAGACAAAGCACGTGGTGTACCCTGATGACTGCTTGTAATTGGTTGTTCTTGAACTTTGGCATTCTATTCTTCTCTTTATGTTTTATTTCTCTCCGATAGACAGTGCCTACTGTGTTTTAGGCACTGAGCTAGATGCTAAGAGTTCATACAAAGAATTTTCAGTCTAGTTGCAGGAATAGATATATAAATAGGTAAATAGGAGTTGTATTGCAAGTATGTAAATACAAAGGACTGTCACAAAGCAAACTACTTCATTGAATCAAGAAAGACTCCATGGGGTAGGTCGAGTAACATTTTATCCATCCATCTGTCCATCAATCCTTCTAGTCTTATTTTTTGGAGCTACTAGGGGTTGAATCCAGGGCTTTGTGCATGCTAGGCATGTACTGAGCTACGACCCCACCCCACCCCTCTTTTTTAAATTTTATTTTATTTTGAGAGAGCATCTTGATAAATTGCCCAGGCTGGTTTTAAACTTGTGAAGCCCCTGCCTCAGTGTCCCAAATAGTTGAGATGACAGGTGTGTACCACCCTGACTGGCTCCTTCTAGTAAATAAATAAACATTTATTGAGCATCTATTATGTGTAAAGCCCTGAGATAGGTGCTGGAGCTCTGACTGGGTCTTGAAGGATGAGAAAGGAATAGGAGGATGGGATTGGGCTGGCTTTAAAGAAGAGGGATCCCCCTTGCAAAGGCACAGAGGCACAAGGGCATGGAAATGCCTGGTGGAGTTGAAGCAACAGGGAGTAGCTAGTTCACTGATGGTTTTGTGTGCTGTGAAAAGATGCTTTGTTGTTTTTTGGTTGTAAATGAGAAGCTGTTGTGGAACTTAAGGCAAAAAAAGCAACTTTTCCTTTTTTAGACAGATTCTGGCAGTAGACTAAGTATGAAGCATAAGGATCAGTTAAGACACTCTTGCACTAGGTTCAAAATAAAGACAGTAAACATGGAGAGGTAGAGGTAGATTCAAGAGAGACCCAAGACTTAGAATCAGCAGGACTGAGGGCTCCTTGGAAGGACCAAGTTCTTGGCTTGTGTAACTGGATGAATAGGTACTGGTACCATCAGCTAGAATAAAGAATACCAAAAGGATCAAAGCTTTAGCAAAGAAATTGCAGGTCTGGTTTTAGTCAGGCTGAGCTTGCCAATGTGTTAGCCAAGAGCATCTTGCCTAAGGAAACAAGAATAAGCAGGAGGGCATTTCCAGAAGTTAAGAGAGGATCTGTGACACAGCTAACCTAATTGATGTTTTTGCACACACGTTAAAAAGGAGCCTCTTCTGAGCAGACCAGTGAGGAAAAGGCATCTAACTAACTTCCTGTAGACTTAGCCGTATGGCTTGGCAAGAAGCCCAGGCTGGACTTCAGCCTCCTCACCCCCAAACCTGGACACCAGTGTACATTGAACAACCTCACACAGGAGTGTTTGGACTTACATGAGCTGAAGGATGCATCTAATCCTTAGCCCATTGTTCACCAATGGAAAAAAAAGATGCAGAAAGATGGAGAAAGCCAGGGTCTTGGCTAGAGAAGGATTCCAGCTATTGCCCTAGGGGCTCAGTGGTCAGTCCTCTTTCCAGTGGGTTATATTTAATCTCTTCTGTAAAGAAGTCACTATGAGCCCTTCTAATTACCTTAAGGCATTAGGAGACCTACAAGAGGCATCTCTACCCTCACTTTCTGTCACCAGACGTGGCACATAGATGGCTCTACTAACAGGAAAAAACAGTGGTTAAGGTAAAACAAAGTGGTGCATGATAGTGAACTATGAAGACTGCAGACTTGAACTGTGTTTAGTGAGAATGTTGAGTTAGGAAAGATTCAGACTGGGAAGTGGCTGGGCCAGTTGAGGGGTAGTAGTATAAGAGATGGCAGGTAGAGAGGTAACTGCTGTAGCATGGGGGTCTTAGAGTTTAGCCACTCGAGGATGGCTAAAGGGAAGTGAACTCAGAACTGAAGTGCCCAGGTGTGAGACAGAGGTGCCCGAGATGAGAACTCTAGCATGACAGTCTGAAAAGAGTAAGGCAAAAAGAAGAATGTTGTTCAGGAAGAAAGGAAAGGGCTTGGTCAAAGTAGTGGTGATTTGGAATAAGTAAAAAGATATTAGGCAGGATGGTGTCGAATCTCAGTGGCAAGAAACAGCAAGGCAGACCATACTAAGCCCAGCATTCAGAGGTTTCTCTCTCCTCTTTCTCCTGTTGTATAAGTATGAATGAAACTGAGTGAGAACCTTGACGATTTCTTAAGGAACACATCATTCTAAGGAACAATTCAGGTCGCACTTAGGACAAATGATAATTTAAGAGATGTGCTCTAGATTGAAACATTGGCATAAGTCTCAGAAAAGGTATGATGGCTCAGATGATGGAATAATGAAACTTTGGTCTAACTGGGTCAAGCAGTTGGAACCTCAAGGTTTGCTACAGTAACTGAAGGATTTTAGCAGTTGCAAGACAGATGCTTCTTCTTCCTTCCATATTTTCCCTCTCATTTCTCTTTTTCTTCTTCTTCCCTCATGAGTTGAAGTAGCACTGTGATTATCTCTGGCTCAGGTCTTATTACTCATCTTTATCCTTGTTACATATTAAAAGACAAGCTATCTCTGTGGCTAAGACTTTTTAACCTTAGTTGCTGTATAATCCAGAGTACTTCTGCTGATAGTGGGAGGAGGACGGATAGGCAAAACATGGTAGCCTGACCTGAGATTAAGCCTCCCCTCAGGAATCTGAGCCCCCTGGGCCTGGCACCATCATGGCGCTCTCTCTCTCTCTCTCTCTCTCTCTCTCTCTCTCTCTCTCTCTCTCTCTCTCTATATATATAATATATATATGACCATACATAAGACATGGTTTTGGAGTTTGGTCAGGGGGAAGTTATACATCAGGAGCAGGTCAGGATTTACCTGTCTGTCTCCTCTCCACAGCATCAGGTGAGAAGAAGGAAGGTTGGTCATGGGAGTCCTACCTGGCAGAGCAGAAGGCCATCACTGCCCCAGTCAGCCTCTTCCAGGACGTGAGTTGGGCAATTTCCACTGAGGAAGAACATGTCTTCCTACTCCAGACACTCACCACCAAACTCAGGCCTTCTGGGGTTTTCTTTCTCACATTCCTTGATGGGCTAGAATGGAAGGGAGAGAGTCTTGTTAGGGGCCTAGAGTAGAAAAAGGATACCATAAAGGGCTTCTAGATTGTGAATGAATGGGGAAATGGGACCCAGATACACCCACCACTGGGCCTTTAGACATTTAAATTCTAGTACCTTCTACTCCACTTGATGCTGACTTTTCCAGGACTTGTGGCAAGAGGGAAACTTTATGTCCAGCACTGACATACCCATCTCAGAATAGACCTGCAGCTCTTCTATCCCTTTCTGGATCCCTGCAATGTGGGGATCTGTACAGATTCCCAAGCATGTTGCCCCTTTGGTAACACCAGGCGGGTGGGGCCTAAAGGCAGCTCCTTCACCCCAAGCCCACTAGGCAAGGATAAGGCTGGATGGAACCTGGGTCCTCTCCACTCTGTGCGTTGACAGTCCCAGGTAGTCACTCATCACAAGAATGGCTTCAAACTGGGCATGAAGCTGGAAGGCATTGACCCTCAACATCCGTCCATGTACTTCATCCTCACTGTGGCCGAGGTGAGCTGGGGCTTGGCTATACCCTTCTGATGTCTTTCAATATAGTGTGTTGGAGATGCTGGGGGCATGGAGGGAGACAGTGCCTGCCTCAGAAAGCATTCATGTAAGAGATTGAGTTGGAGCACAGAGAAAAGAGAGAAAGAAAGGGACAGAGAGAGAGAGAGAGAGAGAGAGAGAGAGAGAACGATGCTAGAATTCAGTGATATTACAGAATATGCCTGCTGATGGGACGCTGGAGAGGTCCTAAGGGCTGAGAATGTTGCCCAGAATATCCTTGTCCTCTAGGACTTCGGAAATATGCAGTAAATCAGTCAGGTGAACATACCAGTGATAACCTCTGGGTGGTGAGGATGGGTAGGGATGCACAACGAAGGAATGCACCCTTCCAACGTGGAGAAAGGGCCTCTCTGAAGGGAGGAGTGTGAACGAGTGGGGGGTCCCAGGCAGAAGCAAAGTGAGTAAAGACTCTGGGGCATGGAGCCACTCATCAACTCCGTGCCTTTATTTCAGCGAGACTGTAGAAAGGTATGTAAATGGGGAGTGGTGACATGTGGCAGCAGAAGAAAAGGTCATCAGGGACCCTGAACAGTGTCGAGCCTGTGGGCACCTTCCAAGTTCTGCCCAGGACTCGAGAGGGCAAGCATTTGTCGGAGTCCACACCCAACACTCAGGGCTCATGAGTATGTAAACTGTCTTTAGTGCAGGATGGGAGAGCATGGGACAGAGTTCAGGACAGGAGAAAGAAAAAAAGATGGGGTTGGAGGGCCCAGGACCACAGGCTGACCAGTGGAAAGTGGGGCATCAATTGGCTTTGGGGTCCCTATGATTCCTTCATGGGGCTTAGGTGTGTGGCTACCGCCTGCGTCTGCACTTTGATGGGTATTCCGAGTGCCATGACTTCTGGGTCAATGCCAACTCCCCTGACATTCACCCTGCTGGCTGGTTTGAGAAGACTGGGCACAAGCTGCAGCCTCCCAAAGGTAAGGCCTACCCAGCTTGGTTCCCATGAGGGAGTCAGTCTTCTGACCCTTCCTTTCTTCCCTGCCGGCCCCCTCCCAGCTCCCACATTTTCTGTCACTGTCCCCTGTACCAAAGCCTGCCTCTTCATCATATTCTAATATGACTCTGCCTAGGGGCCAAGCTGGCCAAAAGCCCCAGTGCTTTTTCCCCTGTTTTTTCCTTGCCCTTTAAGTGTCTACCCAGGTGGTCACCTGTTTCAGAATGGGGTTCCTGGGGAGGTTCCTGAGGATTGTGAGGTCCTCAGGTCTGTGTGATTCTGCTGCTTCAGTGTGGGGTGCCCTCACCATGGACCAGCCTCTGCACAGCGCTCTGTTCGTTCCCCCCGAGGGGCCTAGGTTACAAGGAGGAGGAGTTCAGCTGGAGCCAGTACCTGCGCAACACAAGAGCTCAGGCAGCCCCCAAGCACCTGTTTGTGAGCCAGAGCCACGTGAGTGTCCCTGAACAAGAGTGGACATCACCCCCAAGGCCAGACTCACTGCAGCCGACCCAGGGATTCTGACTCACCAGAAGAATTTATCTACTGGTGCCCTCAGCTTTGTTCTGGCTTCTTCTATGAGATGGAAGAGGCATGGCCAGGGGCCACAGGGATGATAGCTAATTATAGGTTTTCCTCTAGTTTCTTTCTTATATCCTGACTTAGTCCTTATTCTGTGGCTGTAACAAAATCCCCAAGGCTGGATATTGTATAAAGAAAAAAAAAGCTTATTTTAGCTCACCGTTTCAAACGCTGAAAGTCCAAGATGAGGTGGCCCCATCTTTTCAGCCTCTGAGGCGGGCCTTATGGTAGAAGACGCTACAGGGGTGGGAGTGCATGTGGAAGAGATCACAGGCCAAGTTTATAGCCAGAAGTACTCAAGGGCCAAGATTGCTTTTTGTTTTTTCATTTTTATTTTATAGCAGCTTACTTTCACAGGAACTACCCAGCTTCCTGTAAGACTACGTTATTCTCTTCTGAGGGTCCGCAGTGTCAGACCTCTCTTGCTAAGCCCCACCTCTTTAAGGTTCCCCCCATCTCAGCAACACCACCTGGGGGCAAAGCCCCCGGCATATGAACCCCTGGGGGACACACTTGGCCAGATCCAAACCATGGCACTGCCGTGCTGCAGAGTTCTCCATACATCCTGTCAGAGCCCTGCCAGTGGGGCACTGACCTGTTTGTTGTTCATAGTCCTTCCTTTGCTCTGCAGCTCTGTGTGAGGTCATAGGCTCTGTCCTGGGATCTTTGTTTTCCTTTCTGCTAACATTGAGGTTCTCCCATTCTTTCCCAACATTTCACCCCTTGTTTTTCCCTCTGTTAGGGCAACCAGCGCTCTATTTAGCAAAATATCTCACATAATCCCAAGCGAAGGATCTGAGAGATTTAGGGAACCCCCATTAAAAACATTGCCATATTTGGAGGGGAGGCATACTTAGTGGTAGAGTGCTTGCCTACCATGTGCAAGGCCAAGAGTTTAATCCCAACACACCAAAAATACCAAACCAAAACAAGCAAAATAATCGAAGGTCTGGGGTCACCATAATGAATGGCCTAGGATCTCAGTGCTGTTCAGATAGCATCGGTTATTCCCTGTGCCCTAGTTGAATGCCAGAGACCATACTTGGAGGTTCACAGGTAACTGACAATGTATCCTCCCTGCCGTAGTGACAGGAAATGTACACTTTTAAGTAAGACTTTAAATCTTGTCCCTGCCACTGACTAGCACTGTGTTCTGGCTAAAGCTATTTAACTTCTAAAGTAGGAATAATGGCCTGGAGTGGTGGTGTACCCCTGTAATCTGAGAACTCGGGAGGCTGAGGCAGGAGGATTGCTATGAGTTTAAGGTCAACCTGGACTACATAGCAAGACCCTGTCTTTCAAAAAAAAAAGAACTAATAATACGGAGTTTTTGTGAAGACGAAGGGAAATGATGTCTTTTCTTGTGCCTGGTGCATAGCAAGTGCCCAGTTAATACTGGACCCCCGCCTCACTTCCTTCAAGGAAGGAACATATCAGCGCTTCTATCCCACCTACCCCCTTATTCCTGAGATGCCTTGGACCAAGCCAAAATAGGCTTGTCTGGGTAGGGAACACTTACATGCAGCCTGCCAGATTCTTCAGGTAAATGCATAGCCTCCTGCTAGTCACTTCTGCCACAAGCCCAGACTCTTCTGAGTGTACTTGGAGGCCAGAAGTTCCTGAGTGGCTCAGAGCTCAGGTTGTGATTGTGCCCTGAGGACTCTTTCCCAGCCTGTTTCTCCCCCCTCACTCCCAGGCAGTTCCCTAGAAAACTTAACCTCTGTAGTTTGCAGTGGGCTCTAGATTAATGCTGGCCAGCCTGGCACTGGCCATGGCAGCCTCTCTTTTTATCCCTAGAGTGCCCCTCCCCTGGGCTTCCAGGTGGGCATGAAGCTGGAGGCTGTTGACCGCATGAACCCGTCCCTCGTCTGCGTGGCCAGTGTGACCGACGTGGTAGAAAGCCGCTTCCTGGTGCACTTTGACAACTGGGATGATACTTACGACTACTGGTAGTGGGAGGACCCAGTCTTGGCCTGTGGAGGGAGGGGATGTTAGGGGTAGGGGTGAGCACTTTTGGACCTCAGGCACCACAGGGCCTTGTTCAGTCCACTCCTGATACTCAGATCTTGCTCAGGGTGGGAGATAATTGGCTGTCCTGTGGATACGAGCTGTATCATAGGAGATATAGCTCAATGTTACATGTTTCATCTAAAAATACTCTAGTTGGGGTGAGCAAACCCTGTGACACATTGATTCTCCCTTAGATATTATCATGTTCCAGAGTATTTAATCTGACAGTTTTCTGATATGTATCATTAGCTACCTCTCTTCCTGCCACTAGAAGTAGGAGAGGGTGGCCCTTGAAGCCAGGCTGTGAGGGGACAACAGGCTCAGCCCTCCGTGTTCCTCCTGAGACAGTGACGTGTTCTTGGGTTTCAGGTGTGATCCCAGCAGTCCCTACATCCATCCAGTGGGCTGGTGTCAGAAGCAAGGAAAGACCCTCACCCCTCCACAAGGTGACCCTGTGGCCTGAGCATGCCCTTCCCAGGCCCAGCCCCAATTCCTTGTCTCTTGACCTCTTACCAGGACCTCATTCGTGGGCTCTATAGGATCAGGGGGAGAAGATAGATATGGCTTAGGACCTCAGCTTTGCCAAGGAATTGAGAACCCTGTGATTTTAGGACAAACACTGATTCCAGTGAGGTTTAGGGGAGGAAATGTAGATGCCCATTTCAGCCAGGGAGCAGGGAGTCCAAAGCAAAGAAAGTATATCCTTCCTCCCGGGAATACTACAGTCAAGATTCAGACAGGGCTGGAGGAGGAACTATAGGACCAGGTCAATGGGTTCCCAGATGGCCCTGTGAGCTGTTGGAGTAAGTAGTGTATGTTTGGTTTTCAAGAGCACCTGTCTGCCCCAGAAGCCCAGTGCAAGGCCAGCCATGGTCACGTGGAGGGTCTCTTACTAGGGTCTCTTCCGTGCTCCTGATCCTGCCTTGAGAAAAAGCAATCACCATCACTTGAATGGCTCAATACTGCACTCACTCTCTTCTTCAGATTATCCAGACCCTGATAGCTTCTGCTGGGAGAAATATCTAGAAGAAACTGGGACTTCTGCTGTGCCCACCTGGGCCTTCAAAGTGGTAAGCTGATGTTCCCTTTCCCCAAAGCTGAACTCCTAAAGATGTGGAATACGCAGGAGCTCTGGCTTCCCCGTCTGGGCAGACACCATTTCCTCAGCCACAGAATTTGGGCTTGCTTTTTGAAGCCTCAGCCCTACTGAGCTGGGCCTTGTCCTGAAAGAACTGTCTACCTGCAGCGACCGCCTCACAACTTCTTGGTCAACATGAAGCTAGAAGCTGTGGACCGCAGAAATCCAGCCCTGATTCGTGTGGCCAGCGTGGATGATGTGGAAGACCATCGAATAAAGGTGGCTCTAGACCTAAGGGGTGGGGGAGTGGAGAGGTGATTTGGGCAGGAATTCAATAGACTGGTTCAAGATCAAAGGCATGGCATGATATACAAAGGTGAAGGTTTTGAATCTCATTGTGCCTCATCTGTGTGTGACTTTTGGGAACTTGGACAAGTCACGTCTCTTTGAACTTTTAGACTTCATATGTGAAATGGGCCTGACAATCTTTGTCTTACACAAGGACTAATGGGAGATGTCAGTAATATAATTCAGGAAGCCGGTGGGAAACATGGGACAAGACCAATTATTGTAGGATCGGCCCCTTGCTTCAGAGAACCCCAAAGATGGGAGACCCTCCGGGAGCCTGGAGGACCTCTTGGCTGAGCTGGGCTCCTGACTGCCAAGGGCCTTTCCTCCCCAGCTCCACTTTGATGGCTGGAGTCATAGCTATGACTTCTGGATTGATGCCGACAACCCAGACATCCACCCCGCAGGCTGGTGCTCCAAGACAGGACATCCCCTGGAGCCTCCTCTCCGTGTGTACCCCTAGGGAACCCTGGCCCTTTTCATTCCCATCAGCCTCTGAAAACTCTCCCTTCCTATAGCTTGGCCAGGGACTCTGACCCCTGTGCCCAGGTCTATCACAGAGGGCTCTGACCCACAACAAGTTCTAAGATCCTCGTCCTCCCCATTCAGGGCTGCTTACTACACTAAGCAGAGCTTCCAGCTCCCAGCTGAGGGTGTGGCCTACAGGTTTCAGGGAAGTCTATGAGAACCAAGCCTTCCTTCCCCAATGACCAGACAGATGTCCAGTAGGAATGGTGGCACAACCTGGCCAGAGGGCTCTGTCCCCAAGGATCCAGTTCCTAGCTAATTCCTAGGACTCCTATATAGAAACTGTTCCTTGCCCTCCATCCCCCAACCTGAGGACTCTGTGTTGACTTTACTTCCTGCTCCTTCAGGGCCCAGAGAGTCCAGCTCTGCCTCCCCTGGGGGCTGCCCCCCTCTCAGCTATAAGAGCCTGCCTCACTCAAGGACCTCCAGATACAGCTTTCACCACCGGTGAGTGAAGGTCTCCTATCTGGAGGTCTGCACTGCTGAGTGAGGCCCACCAGGACTCACTGAGACCTTCTCAACAGGTCCAGGCCTGGGAGGGCTGAGTGGGAACAAGCAGATCAGCCCATTTTAAGCTTTCTTCCTTCCTAGGAAGTGCCCCACTCCTGGCTGTGATGGCTCTGGCCATGTCACAGGCAAGTTCACAGCTCACCATTGCCTCTCGGGCTGCCCACTAGCTGAGAGGAACCAGAACCGCCTGAAAGCAGATCTGTCTGACACAGAGGCCTCGGCCAAGAAGAAAAACCTCCCCAACCTGTCACCAAGGAAGAAGCCTCGCCATCATGGCCGGTGTGAAGGACAGGGGGTGTCAGGACCTGGGCTCCCTGGGTGCCGGGCCTCCTACCCTGATACCCTGCCACAGACCTGGTCCCTCTCTCTCCAGGATTGGACGCCCTCCAAAGTATCGGAAGAGTCCACAGGAAGAATTCCAGAGTAAGCGCAGGTCCTCTGCACCTATGTCCTCCAGTGTTCACAGTGAAGGCTCAGCAGTCAGTGGGATGAGACACCAGGGAAATGGGAGAAACTGTCAGGGAGGTTGCCTCTGAGATCCCTCAGGAACCTAGAGCAGTCGGTAGAGAACAGGATGGGCCTGAGTGACCTCGGGTTCTAGTCCGATGGCCTTGCTGTGAGTCTGTGGAAAAGGCATCAAGCTGCTCTGGATCTCTGGTTCTCCATTCTGAGGCAGGTTGATGCCCTAGCTATGTTCTCTGCTTCTAGGTTTCCTGGGAAGGAGACCATGGCAGTCATTTTATAGTTGTGACCTGAGCAAGTCACTTAAAATCTCTGAGCCTTGGTTTCCTCGCTTGAAAACATGGAAAAAACCTACCTTTCAAGTCAGTACCTAAAATAACCATGGTTGCTGTTACTGTTTCTGAGCACCTGCCTTGGGCCCGGCACTGTGCAATTGCTTTAGTCTCACCAGCATCCTATAATATGTCTGAGAGAGGAAGGATGTGAGGCTCAGAGGTGAAGTCATTTGCCTAGAGGCATTCACTTTGTGAGGGGCTGAACCTGATTTCTGCCATATGCTGCTGGTGTAACAGACAATCATTCAACCCAAATGTCAGTCCACTTCTGAGTCCCCTTTGGCCAGTTTGCATGGCCTCTCATTACAAAATACCACTGACTGGGTGGCTTAAGCAACAGATGTTTATCTCACTTTTCTGGAGTCTGGAAGTCAAGGAGTCAAGAGGATTGGTTTGTTTTGAGGCCGCTCCCTGGCTTGTGGGTGGCTGCCTTCCTGCTGTGTCTTTGCATTGTCTGACTTCTGTGTGCAAGCAAGCATCCCTGGTGTCTCATGGAATGTCCAAATCTCCTGAGCCTCAGTGTCCTCAGTTGTCATATGCTAACAGTGTAGTGCCCACTGCATGGTGGGGTGGGAGGCCTAAATGACATAATCATGTGCAGTACTTAGCACAGGTATCTGCAGGTATCATTAGTCTAAATCTCTAGCCTGACTTCTCTTTGCTGCCATTTCATACTATTTCCTTTGGGTAGAAACAGAAAGTACTTCTTGCAGCCTTGGGCCTGAGTGAGGAGGGTCCTGGCCAGCCTAAAGGCCCTCAGCTGAAGATTTTCAGGGATAGAACTCTAGTTGAAACCTCTTCTTCCCACCGTAGTGCACCTGCTCAGCTTCCTTGTAGGACCAAGTTGTTCCTTCAGAGTGTACCTCCCAACTGGCCAGCATTCTTGGGAGATGAGTTTTTTCAACCATTGAGACTATGGCCCAGAGAAAGGAGGGAGAACTCACACAAGTCCTTGAGGTCCTTCAGAGACAGAGCACAAGGCTATGATGTCTGCAGGGCTCCTCTGCTCTCCCAGCAGGCTCTTGCCCAGAAGGAGCACTGGTCACTCTTAACCCTCTGGAGAAGACTTCGCACACATCATGGAAGTCCTCCTCAGGATAGGCTCTGGGTTTACTGGTGACCTGTTGCCTGAGAAGGACAGGGCTTGGCTGGCCTTCCTGTTGAGGCTCCAGAAGTGTCATATTCTCAAAGTACTAATGGAGCCGATTCTCACTTGCAGTGAGGTGGTTAGGTAAGAAGCTTTGGCTGCCTGCGAGAGCGTCGGTAGGCTCCAGGAGGACAGATAAGGAAAGAAGTTGCCAACAGACTTGATGTAATCATCCAAGCCTACTCTAGTCTGTAAGGAAGACCAGACTCAGGGCTCCAAAGAGGGAGCCCTGTGTAGATGAGAGGCCAAAGTGTGGCCAGGTGCTGGTAGATCTCAGGAAAGATCCTTAGTGTGCCCCACTGAGTCTTGAGAGAAAGTGGCTAGTGATGCAGGGGAAGCAGCTCCTTAGAGACACTAAGGAGGGTTGTTCAGGTGTGCAGGTACTCAGGTGGGGTTGATGAGCAGAGGCAGCGGGGAGGAGAGCCTTATAGGCCCTCAGGTGGAGCGCAAATGGGCAAGTGCCAGCTGTGGCTAAGCTGACCACCATCAGTCATGAGATCCATGCAGCCAGGGTGAGGCTGGAGGTCAGGAGCCAGAGCTTCACAAGCAGAGCAGGAAGTGACAGATAGTATGGAGTTAGGAAGCAGGTCAGAGTAGTGCCAGAGTAGGCAGGTCCCAGAATCACCCTGGCTCTGGGGGAGCTGGTCAGGCCAAAAGCACTTGGGAAAGGATAAACAGAACACGTCTCTGACATCAGAGCTGAGCTTCTTGAGTACTGGGGACCACTTTAATGCAAGGCATCTGGAGGATGGTATCTTTTGAGATTCCACAGCACCCCTAAGAAAACATCCTTGCAAGGCCTGGGGTGCTGTAACCTCAGAGAAATAGACTGTCACTCCACACAGCTGGCCTGAGGGTCTATACTTGCAGAACCCACTAGAACAGAAGGAGTGAGCATCAGGCAAGGAAACAGGATGTCACCCTGGTGGCTTTGCAGGCTATTGGAAGAGTCCACTGATCTTAACCTCTATGCCAGCTGTTCATGTGGTGTGGGTGTGAGCTGGTTCTGGCACCAGACTGTCCACAGCATCAGCCCTTGGCCTCTGTTTTCCAGCACTTGCTCCTGATGTCATGCAGCAGTCCTTCTTCATGTCAGCCTTGTCGGCCCACCCTGATCGCTCACTGTCCTTATGCTGGGAGCAGCACTGCAAGCTCCTGCCAGGAGTGGCAGGCATCTCAGCTTCTGCTGTCTCCAAGTGGACCATTGAGGAGGTGAGGAGCCTTTCACAGCTGCCTCCTTTTCCTCCTGCCCTACTTCTCCCTCTTACCACTGGTGGTAGTAGTAGTGGGGAGTGGGGGGGCTCGGGAAAGGGCCTGGTCAAGTGGAGCCCTGTTCTACTTCCTGACTCGCTCCTGTCAGCTGCCCAGCAAGGCTGACTGAGACACTGGGGCTATGGGGCAGGGGGAGGCATGCTGCCCACTTGGCTGGAAATCCAGCAAGGAGTAGGCACTGGTCCTGGGGCTTGGGAGCAAAGGGCCTCCCCTCACACACCTGCCAGCACAAAGATTCAAGGATGCTCTAAGGCTGATGAGAAAGGCAGCACCGGCACAACTAGGATACACTAAGGCCATAGAGGCCAGCCTCTCCCCCACACTTCCAGCTCCAGCACCGGTCAGAACATCTTCTTTGGTTTCCAAGGTCTTTGGCTTCGTTCAGACCCTGACAGGTTGTGAGGACCAAGCACGCCTCTTCAAAGATGAGGTAAGGTGCAAGTACAGAAGGAACCACAGTGACAAGGTCACTGTGTCATTGAGTCAGAAGGAAGCAGGTGCCACACCAGCACTGCCCACCCAGGGAAGGGTATTTTACTCCTCTGAGTGAGACTAGTTCTAGGGACCTACTTTTCTGGGAAGAATCTGGTATGGACTGTGGCCCAGCTTGGGGACACAGTATATTCAGATTGTCTTCAGGAATGAAAGCACATTCTGGAGACAGGAATCCACTCACTCTTCTGCTTTCTACCCAGTCTTTTGTTTGTAAAACTTAGCCTCCCCATTGGCAGTCACTAAATTAAAGTGAGTTTTTGTTTTGTGTTTTTGTTGGTTTGGTTTGATTTAATGCTGGGGATTGAACTTGGGGCTTCATGCTAAGCCTGTACTCTACTGCTGAGTGACATCCCCAGCACAAAGCATATTTTGAATGGCACAGTTATTGCTATTGACTGCAAAGATCCTAATACATACTTACAGTCAAAACCCAAGAGCTAAGCAAAAATAAGAAACAATGAGTTATTGGTAAAGAATGCTAGCTTTGGCAACAGTCTGGGTTGGAATTCCAGCGCTCCCAATTTGAGCTGCTTAATGTCTCTGAGTCTGCATCCTGTCTGTAAAATGGAGATAAAGTGGGTATAATGAACATGAATTTGCAGGGCTGTTATGAATGAGCATTGTAAGGAAGGAGCACTCATTATACCGTGATGTCTATCACTAGTGTGTGTGTAAAGTACATTACTGCTGTGTAAATTATATAACTTAGAATATGTGTATATCAGTATAGAGTGATATTTATATATCCTAAAATATAGTGATATTTGCATAGACTAATTAATATATAAATACTGATGGCTATACATTAGTGTTGTAGAATAATATATAAATCCTATCACTAATATGAAAATACCTGATACAGTGGGGGCTCTATAAGTCGTCATTCCAACTTTCAGTACACAGTTGCCCTTAAATAAAGAATTATAGGGCTGGGGATTTAGCTCAGTGGTTCCACCGCCTGAGTTCGATACCCGGTACCAAAAAAAAAAAAGAAAAAAAAAGAATTATACTATGACTCTCCTAATTGTAGAATTAGAAACTGGAAGGGACCTTTAAATTTAATGTGTATGGCTTTTTTCCAAAGAATACATATGTCCCTTCTATATATCCACCTCTGCCCAAGACTCTTAGCTGCCCCAAGTTGCCACTCCAGGTCAGAAGCCTGTAAGAAGGAGTCTGGGCTTCTTTCCCTAGAAGAATATCTTTTTCCAGGCCCAGCATAGCTGGTTTCTTCCTCTGATCTGGGGTGATGGGGCTCCCCAAACAATCAGGTGGAAGGCCCACCTGACCAGGCCTTTCTCAAGCCTTCTCATGAGGGTGTGGCAAGGGGGAGAAGTAGGGAAGGAGGAAGAGGAGGAGATTGAGGAAGGCTGGTCTTAAAAGTACATATAGTAACCGGGCGTGGTGGCGCACGCCTGTAAGCCCAGCACTTGGGAGGCTGAGGCAGGGCGATCGCTGTGAGTTCGAGTTTGAGACCAGCCTGGGCTACATAGTGAGTTCCAGGACAGTCTCAACTACAGAGTTAAACCCTGTCTCAAAAAAACAAAAACAAAAACAAAAACAAACAAAAAGTACACATAGAAGGTATAGTGCCACAAGTTTTAGGACTCATACACTTGAATCCAGCCCTTTAGTCAAGATATAAAACATTTCCTTGCCCCTTTTTCTCAGCCTTCACTCCAAAAGACAACTACTGTTCTGATTTCTAGCACCATAGAATAACTCTGTTCTTGAACTTGTATAAAGGAATCAGGTACCATGTGCTCTTCTGAAACTGTTTTTTGTTCCGTATAATGTTTTTGAGGTCTTCCATGTTGTTCTGTTTGGTCATAATTGTTTATTGTTGATTCGTGCTCTGTTTTATGAGTATACAACAGTTGTCTTGTTCATAGACATTTGGATGGTTTTCCCTTGCCCTGGGTGTCCGCACTCACTCCTCCACAGCTGGCCTCTTCCCTTCCTAATTCTACCCTTAGAATTCACACTATTAGGCCAGGTATTTAGCTCAGTGGTTCCACCACCTGCCTCACAAGCTCAAGGTCCCGGTACCCACCCCCCAAAAAAGAATTTACAACTATCACCATTTCTCAGATTTGCTTCACCTATTTCTGGGCAAAATAATTTTATTTTTATTTATTTATTCATTGAGTTTATTGGTACTTTCTAAGAATATAGTACAGTTACATTCATCACTGGGATCTTATACCTTTACATGACAGGTCTTGGTTCTCATTTTTTCCCCATTCCCCCACCCTCCCCTATTTACAAAGACTTTGTTTCTGTTTTTTCCTTTTCTCATATTTTTAATTTATTTATTTATTTTTGGTACCGGGGATCAAACTTGTGACCTTGCGCTTGTGAGGCAGGCAGTAGAACTACTGAACTAAATCCCCAGCCCCAAAGTAATTTTAAATTACAGACACAACATGTCATCCCTGAGTACTTTAGCATCTCTGAAATTAAGGACTTTCTTTGCAGAAGCACAGTCTTACAATCCCACTAACAGATTGACAGTAGCTCCTTGGCACCATCCCATACCCAGGATGTCTTCAAATCTCATTAGTTGTCTCAGAACATTTTTTGTAGTTTTTGAGCCAGATTCAAACAAGGCCCACACAGTTGACTTCAGTTGGTATGCTTCTTGAAGATCATTCTAGGATAGCATACCCACCCTCCGCGCATGCTTTTTTTATCTTTTTTCATGACATTTCTAAAAGTCTTACAGAATGTTCCCTTCTGGATTTGTCTTGTTTCCTTGTGATGTTGCTTAACTTATTTTTCTGTTGCCTGTATTCTCTATAAATTGAAAATCAGATCCAAAGTCTCGGTTAGGTTTAGGTTAAATAAACTCTCTCTCTCTCTCTCTCTCTCTCTCTCTCTCTCTCTCTCTGTGTGTTTTGGCAAGGATAGGTCAGGTAATACAGTGTCACTCATACTGCATCACACTGGAATCACATGGGATGCACACAATATTCACCTGTCCCAACATTTGCCATTAACAGCACTAAGGTTGACCAGTTGGTTCATATGGGGATGACAACAGCAAGGATTTTTTTGGTCTGTTTTCATTTTTGACATTTCAGAGTTATTAATCACAGTTGTTGATTTGAAGATAGTTACACAGATTACAGAGGATACCAGGGAACATTTATAGAGTGGATGACTAGTGAATCAAATTATTTATGATATGGGAAAGTAAACTTCCTGGGCTTAGAGCTCAGTTGTCGCCACCTTCAAACTCCATACTTTCTGAACAGAGGAGGTCCTCGTTTTCATTTTGTACTGGTCAGCAGGAAGACAAAGCAAGAGAGTACATGTGTTTGACTCTGGGGAACCAGCGGCTGTCTTTCGTTCCTTCTCTATCCCATTGCTGTCTTCCTTTTCTCCCTTCTTCCCCTTTTTCCTTTCTCCATGTCCTTCCACTTCCCTGCTCCCTCCTCCCTTCCTTACCCCACACATGACGTACCCTGTACCCCCATTTTCTTATCCCCCGTGCATATCCTCACCTTTCCTTCACCCATTCCCTTTGACCCTTTTTGCCTTCTCCGCTTTCCACCTCCCTTCCCGACCCCTCAGATGATTGACGGCGAGGCCTTCCTTTTGCTGACACAGGCGGACATTGTGAAGATCATGAGCGTCAAGCTGGGCCCAGCCTTGAAGATCTATAACGCCATTCTCATGTTCAAAAATGCTGATGACACCTTAAAGTGACTGGCCAGGGTTGGGCCCTCCTCCATTCCTTGCTGGGACTCCCTCTCTAGCTGATGCTTTCTTCCTGACTTGAGCTCCTCATACCCCCACTGTACCCCCACCCTCTGTATCTGACCAGGCCTGGTCCTTCCTGAAAGGTGCAGGGGGTCCTAGGGAAGGTGGAGACCTGCCCCGGGTCCTGGAGATCATTTACCTTCAGGGGCACTGGTGAGGCCATGATTGAGCTGAGGCATCAATGAGGGAGTTGTTGGAGGTCCCCTGTCTAGGGAAGCCCCACATATGATGTTGACCATGTCGTGATCAAAGGGTCTTTTTTCTTAGCAGTGAGGAAGAGTCCCCACCCTGAGGCTCTTTTTCCTTCTCTGTATTTTTCTCTCCCTCACTTCTTTCCTCTGCTAAGAAGTGACCCTGCCATAAGCATTTATGCATAAAAGCACCTCCTCCCCTTTTCCCTGCTGGTTTTATGGCCTATATTCTTCTACCCAGTTTCCTGGGCATTGCCAACCATGGCCCAGCCAGCCCCTTGGCTCTTCCCTGTAGATATATGAGCCTCAGAAACATGTCATCATGGTTGGGTGTGGTGGCACCTGCCTGTAATCCCAGCACTCTGCAAGGCCAAGGTAGGAGGATTGAAAATTAAAACCCTGCCTGACAATAGGGTGACTTAGTGAGACCCAGGCGGGGTTTGGATGGGGACTTGAGGTGCAGCTCAATGCAAAAGCCCTGGTCAATCTCCAATACTATCCAAGAGTGAAAAGGAAGGAAGGAGGAAAGGGAGGGAGGGAAGGAAGGAAAAAAGGAAGGATATATGTCATCATGGGAGCTCCTAGCTGCCTTTGTTTTGCCCAGCAGTGAAAGAGACTCAGAGCCAATATGCCTTTGAACATGTCCAATATGAGCCAATGGGCATTTTAGTGGCCCACACTGGGTCCTAGTTCCAGCGGCATGAGCAAGTGATTGAAGCCTATTTTATAGCTGGCAGTGGTTGAGGTTCACTGATGTTTTGCATACTCTCTCTCTGATGGGTCTGGGGAAAAGGAAGCCTGGTCTGGTAAGTAGCCCAGGCCAAAAGACCTGCTCAAGGGACTTTCAGACAATCTGTAGCCAAAGGAGAGCTCTGGTAGGCATGGTAGTCCCAAAAGCTGAGCAAGCATCCTCTCTACATCTGTGGGTCTCAGCCAGGGTATTGCCCTTGTCTGCCTGCCCAGGCCTAGGCCCCCTGCCTGCCAGACCTCCCACCATGGGAATGTAGCACTCTGTCTAGCACATATCCTCCCCTCGAAAATATATGAAATCACATTTGATCCGTCCCTTGTATGTCTACCACTTGGTCTTGAGGTGTCTCACAAAGACCACTTAGGGATGGGAGTTGGAAAGGTGAACTCTTCTATCTTTGAGTTCTCTGTCCCTTAAGCCCTCTTACCACTCCTTATGTGTCTTGCACTGCCAGCTGGGTCCCTGGTGGGACTCTGGGACTTCAACCTCTCTGTCCACATGGGGACCCAGCCTCCACTGAGCCACTGCCAAACCTGGCACCCAGCCTGGGTGGGAAGGGCTAGAGCCGCCCTCAGAAGCCAGCCCCATCTGAAGGTGAAGGGCTAATGCCAAGCTCCCATATCCCCAGGTGCTGAGATGGGCCTGCGGGCTGTGGAGCTGGGGTCCTTCACCAGACCCCTTCTCGGTCATGTGATATGTGTATGTATATGTGCACAGAACTCATGCAGATGTGAGGCTCAGTGCTGGGACTATGTCAAGGGCTACTGTTAAATATGAAGCTTCATTTTTTTCCTTAGAGGAAACCCAAAGTTCTGTTGATTTCCTGCCACAGCCCTATAGAGGCCCCACTCTACTACGGGCCAGACAAGTTTTAAGGATAGCCATTGAGCCCCAGCTGACCTCTGCAGAGCTTCAGATGTCCCTTCCCTTTCAGTCTGAGCACAGCCTTCCTGGGAGGGAGGCCACGTGAGCAGGCCTGGCCACAGGGTGTGGGCTAGGTTTACAGAGATGACATTGCTGCCCTTTGGCTGAAGTAAAAGGAGCACATGCAAGTCTTTTATTCTGCTACCTAGGTGTCAGTGGAACTCATCCTTGTCCTTAATTTGCCTCTCAGATGCTCACTGACTTTGTGAAATAAGAAGGCAGCAAGTACTCGCACCACATGCTCCTGGCTAGTGCTGTGGACCTCACAGCTTCAAAGGAGAGGGGCTGGGTAGCTTTTGCCATGTCGATCTGTCACCCACCAAATGTTCACCTGTGGGAGAGACCAGGTGAACCAAAGGCCTCTGAGCCTTGAGCCTCAGCATTCTCTGCACTGTCAAACCTGTGGGAAAGAAACCAAATCATAGAAAAGCAGGAAGAAGTCAGCCTCTGTCTTCCTCCACTGCCCTTCACCCTACTGCATGCCCACACTAGCTCTCTGTACCTTGGCCTGAGATCATAGAGGATAAGGGAGTGGGTGGCAGTTCTTGGTGCCCGGTGCCCTGTTCCCTATGCCCTGTTCTGTAGCAACAGGTACCACTTATACTTTGGCCCCAGCAGGCTCACCCAGCCTCTGTCCTATCTTGGCCTAGGACAAGGACAACCTTTCTGTTTAATTTCTGTGGCAGAGAATAGCCCCCAGAGTTTGAATATGAAGCCCGTTTGCACTTTCATTCACATGCACTTTGGTGGGGTTACATTTTTGTACTTGTCTGTGTGTGTGTGTGTGTGTGTGTGTGTGTGTGTGTAATTAAGCTCATATGTTCTTTAAGAGAATCCTCTGGTTTAAATGAAAGTGACTCATGAAGGAAGAAAAGTTACAAATAAAATATGGTGTGATTTGTCAATGTATTGAAACAACCTAAATAAAGTTTAATAGCTGAATAATACACAGCCAGAGTCTGTTCTCTTTCCATGGTAAAACACTGAGGGAATATAGTGCTACCATTGCGGAGGAGACTGTTCTCCCTGCTGTTAGCTAGAGGTCCTGGAGAATCTGGTCACTATACTATTTTAAAGAGAAGAAATAAGGATAAAGACGGCTGAGTATTCCTGTCTACACTGAAAGTGTAAATGATGGAAATCCCCAGGGAGCAGTGTGGGAAAGAGCCTCATCCTTGACATTACACATGATCAAGGACAGAAAACTCAATAAAGCCTCCCATTTTAAAAATAGCACCAAGGACTGGGGATTTAGCTCAGTGGTTCCAGCAACTGCCTTGCAAGCACAAGGACCCGAATTCGATCCCCGGTACCAAAAAATAAAAAATAATGACACCAAGTGTTTCAGAAGACAGGGAAATGTCAAGCTGAGTGGTAAGGATGTGGGGGTCCCACAGAACTTGGTGGAAGTGTCACATTCACTCGCTTCACCCCTTGCTTCTCAGTGTCCTTAATTCCTTTGCCCTGCAGCTCTTCCAGATCACTTGGCTAGAATACCAACTATGGAGCTGCTCAAGAGCCCATCTTCACCTTGACCAAGAACTTACCTGACTGAGTAGATTGGCGCCATGGTAGACTGATAGTTTCTATTCTCAATGTGAGCTGAGACCTCAGAGCCGCCTAGGAAGCAGCTGAGGCTTGGGAAGCATAGCTCTGACTCTCTTTCATGCTCCTCAAACCTCCCCCTCCATTTCCTTCTCCATCACTTCAGTACACGTCCTCACCATTCATGTCACAAAGAAAATGAAACCTGCACCTAACTGCCACCTCATCTGCATGACCCCTTCGATTCACGCTTCCCGCTTGCTTACCTGTTAGAGTGGAAGACTTGATACTTCCATTTGCCAAAAGCCGATCTGTCAACCATAGCTGCAATGAAAGGAAAAGAAACATTGACATATAAGAAAGGGCTTTTGGGAATTTGAAATGTGATTGCAGAAATAAAAATTCAGCACAAGATTTGAAAGATAAAGTTGACGACATTGCCCAGGAAGTAAAAGGACAAAGAGATGAAAAACAGTAAAGAATTTTTAAAAATCAGATGACTTGCTGGAGATCTAACATACAACTAGCAGAGATTCCAGAGAAAGAAAACAAATTATATCAATAAAAAGTAACTTTAAATTTTTCATAGAGTTAAGAGACATAATTCTCCAAATTAAAGAGTTCACATTGAATGCCTGGCACAAAAGATACGAAAGGAATGCCATCAAGCTATTGTACGAATGATAATAGAAGACTCTAAAGGCTGTTGGAAGAAAGCAATGGGTTTCAGCCAAAGGAACGTGAATAACAAAAGGAGCTGTGGGACAGTTTTCACAATTCTAAAGGAACAGACTTGTATACCCAGCAAAGTTTGGATCAAATATGAAGGCAGAAGATTTTCAAATGCATAAAGTTTTCAAACTTTTATCTCCTGTGCACCTCTAAAAAGAGGAAGATCCCATGAATGCAAGTGTTCCGTGTGAGAAAAGCAAGGTAATAACAACACATTAGGAGAATAAAGCAAGTGTGGGGAATAATTGATCATCTCAGTTGATAAATAAAAGGCATATGACAAAATCAAACATCTTTTCATAGTAAAGATACTCAGAAAGCTAGGATTAGAAGAGAGCTTCCAAGCTGGGCATGGTGGTCCACAACTGAAGGCTGAAACAGGATGTTCACCACAAGTTCAGGGACAACCTGGACTACATAGGTCAAGGCCAGTCTGAATTACACAGCAGGACTCTGTCTTTAAAAAAAAAGCAAAATTTCTCCATCTGAAAACATGTACAAAGAAAGCCCACAGTTAGCATCATAAAAAGGCTGAACACTCTCCCAAAGATCAGGAGCAAGACAAGAATGCCTGCCTTCACCCACTGCTATTCAGTCTTGTACTGGAAGTAATTAGGTAAGAGAAAAATAAAAGGCATCCAAACTGGAAAGGAAGAAGTAAAATTATATTTGCAGATGACATGATCTTATATCTAAAAAAAATCTACAAGAAAGCTGCTAGAACTGATAAACTTGTAATACACAAGATCAGCATAGAAAAAATCAATTGTGTTTCTATATACCTGCGATGATCAATCCAAACAGGAAATTTTGAGTCAGCTCTCCATTACTGTAATAATTATGGCGCAGTAAAGACAGGAATTGTGGGGGGGGGGCTTTGTTTTTTGAGACAAGGCCTGGCTGCATTGCCCAGACTGGCCTTCAGTTTGTCATCTTCCTGCCTCGGGCTCCTAAATGCTGGGTTGCAGGCATGTGCCACCATGCTCTAATAAGGGAAAAATATTTTTAAAAAGTAGATAGTAGTAATGATTGTACAACATTATGGATGCACTTAATGCCACTGAAAAATGCTTAAAATGGCTAATTTTATGTTATACATATTTACCACAATAAGACAATTTGTTACAAAGGAAGACAAAAAGATTTGGGTGAGGTGGCACACACCTATAATCACAATACTCTAGGAAGAGGAGGCAGGGGGATTTCAAGTTTGAGTCCAGCTTGGGCAACTTAAGAGACTTAGCAAGACCTTGTCTCAAAATTTTAAAAAAGGGTGGGGAGACTGTGAGGTGAGCTCGGGGGTCTGGGCAGTGAGTGAGCTGCCCGAAAATACACTTGGATGCTGCAGCTGCCAACTTTCAGCTGAATTCTCATCTCTACACTGGCAAATATTCATAAGATCTACCGCACCTTTAATAAGCTAAATCTAATGAAGACATTGGCCACAGTGATCACCAGACAGGGTGGCTGTGTTTGGTAGAGCAGAGTTGTGTGCCTCTTGCACACTTGCTTCCCTGGGACTGAGCACCCCACCCTTCCTGTGAGGTGCTGACCGCCAGCCTGGTGCATGAGAGTGATGAACTGTGGTGAACATCAGAGAGGCTGAATAGTGAATAGACTTGGCATTTTGGAAGCCTGCAAACCTTGCAGTTGTTCAGATGCTTTACTAGTGATGCCCCCAAGGAAAAAGAGAAGACCTGCCTCTGGAGATGACTTATCTGTCAAGAAGAGTAAACATAATAGCATGTATAGAAAATACAATTCAATTAGAATTAAGACTGAAGAAGAAACCTTCTCAAGTAAGCGGTGCTTAGAATGGTTCTATGAAAATACAGGTTCTAAGGATGTTGTGGGTTCTGAAGGAATGGAGAAATTTTGTGAAGACATTAGTGTAGAACCTGAAAACGTAGTTATGCTTGTCCTAGCTTGGAAATTGGATGCACAAAATGGGTTATTTTGCTCTACAAAAATAGTTAACAGGAATGACTTCTTTACAGTGTGATACAACAGAAAAACTCAGAAATTCTTTGGACTGCTTGAGGTCATTATTAAATGATTCTACAAACTTTAAGTTTATTTATAGATATGCATTTGACTTCGCACGGGAAAAGGACCAGCACAGCCTAGACATAAACACTGCCAAGTGTATGTTGGGACTGTCATTAGGAAAAATCTGGCCCCTTTTCCCAGTGTTTCACCAATTCTTAGAGCAATCAAAATATGAAGTGATTAACAAAGACCAGCGGTGCAATGTACTTGAATTCAGCAGAACGATTAATCTTGACCTCAGCAACTACAGTGAAGATGGAGCATGGCCAGTCCTGTTGGATGAGTTCATGAAGTGGTATAAGACAAACAGATGTCCGAGGACTATATGTATAGCAGTGCGAGAGTCACTGTTGCCACAGTTATGTCACCCGTCGGCCATAAATTGCTGTTTGTATCAAAGGACAGGCTGCTTTCCTTGCACTGCCTCCCCTTTGCAGGGATGTTTTGGTGTTTGATGTTGAAAGGGCCAGCCCTGCTTGCTGTGTAGCATTGATCTCGTGGAAGGCTGCTTCCCAGTTTGTATTTACACTACAGATTGGTGAGATCGCCAGTGTTCTCACTGTGATTATGTGTGTATTGCTGTTTAAATTTTGTATATGTGTATAGAAGCTTCACCTAGAGATTATTTCTGCAAAAATGTATTGTAAAAATAAATTTGTGGCATATTTATGGTTCCTTTTTTCAAATGAACCAGTTATAGCATTTTATTTGGCCTCAAACATAGCATTTCAGAGAACAAGACAAAACAACTGTTACCATGAGCAAATGTTGCCAGAATTAATCTTACAGTTTAAGAGGCCAATGTCTGGAAGAGGAGGTAGGAGTGATAACTTTTCAGTGGCTCGTGCCAAATAGCATTTGTTGTACTTAATATTATTAGCATTTTAAAATTATGAAAGTTGTAATTTTTGACCATGTAGACGGGCGACACACCACAAATGGTTTTCACCATACAAGATACAGTTTTTTGTTTTTAATATTAAAACTGTAGTAGCTTGAATACAGGTACAGATGAACAAATTGAAATTGCACCCTTTTTAAAAATTGGGGTTTAAATTCTCATAAGCTTTCTTTAATTTTTTTTTTAACCCTTTTACATTCCTTCAGCTGGTGTTTGGTCTGCTGATGCTCTTTATGATACACTGACTAAAGTTTATTTTTCTGCCTCCCTGAAAATCTAGTGGCTTCCTGGCATTTATAACTGCAGAGCACTTTTAGTTGTAGCTTGCATGTTTTCAGTTAGATTTCATGATGTCTAATTTCCTAGTTTTTTGGAAAAGAAACTATAAGTGAGAGGTGTTTTGTTTTGTTTTCCTTGTTTATTTCATGCCAGGCTTTTCCTGGTAATGTGTTCATTGCAGGCAGTGGACACGAAGCCACTATCGTTGAGCTAACCCTTACCACACTCTAGGACCTTTTCCCAAATGGGCCACTTGTCATTACGTGAATCATTAGTACAGAAGAGTATAGCCATTATTTATGTGTATGAGGAAACAAGGATGGGATGTTTAGATTTGTGTTTTATGTCTTTTTTTTTTTTTTTTGGCCTCAAGAAGATGTATAGATTACGTTTTCACACCCACCCCCAGTCTGGTGCTATTGAATGTAATGGTGTTATTGAATGACTAACCTGGTCCCTAAAGTTTTGTAAACCTACAACAGTCTAATAATTTAACCAAGTAAAGTGCCAAGGCGCATTTGAGCAAGTGATTGCTGTGGTTGTGAGCAGTATCCATGCTTGAACGTGTAATGATTTGGAGTATTGGCCCAAAATTTTTTTAGATTAAATGTGAACCTTTATATTTTTTGGTACCAGGGATGAAACTCAGCACCTCGCATTTGCAAAGCAGGCAGCAGAACCACTGAGCTAAATCCTCGGCCCTTAAATGTGAACCTTTAAATGATGTTAAATGAGTAAAGCACACAGACAATGCTACTCTTGATCATTGTTTAACAAAATTTTTTGCAAACGGTGTTCTGATTTTATATTATTTTTTCCCTAACTGAGCCACCAAAGACAGACATTTTGTATATATGGTGTGTGTACATATACAAAATCATGATATGGTAGAATGCAACTATTTCCTTTTTCTTCTGAAAAATAAGGTTTGGTTTGCTGTGAAATAAAACAGAAATTTTAAAAACAGTAGTGATTAAATATATGTAACCATTCCTTGTTTCTAATCTCACTTTTAACCTTAGAAATTTATGTCAATTTGCATAAATTAATATCAGGAAAGAAAAGGAAATGTCAGTAGTATACAATAGCTTTTGAGACTGCCGTGTTAAAAGATGGTCTGATTCATGTTATCATAGTGGGGATTGGCCATTGGCAGGTTTGGATCTGTGGAGAATTGGATTATTTTCAGATATACCCCAGTGAAATGTTTATAAATCACACTTTAGAGGCAACAGGTCTTAAATTTGATAAGTTCTGTTTTCCTGAAAACATAGAAAATCATAGGTGAAATTCTTTTAAATGTTATGTTAGAATCTGGAGAATTTTTAAAATACTAAGCACAGTTAATCTTAAAATAAAAGAGTTGTAATAAGGGGGAAATGGTACATTGCATCCATAGTGAACATTTTGATGAGAGAAAACCCAAGTAAAATCACCTTTATGATATGAAAGTAAGTATTCCAGTGAGATAATCTTGCATATTTAAAAAACAAATCTCTAAACTACCCTGAAAAATGAGTCTGTGTAACCTCCGGTCACAGAGTACTTACCCTTGGTTCATTTTATATTTTTATGTTATTTTATTTATTTGTTTGTTTGTTTGTTTGTTTATTGGTTCTGGGGATCGAACTCGAGTCCTTGCCTTGCGAGGCAGGTGGCAGAACCTAAGCGAAAGTAATAAAACACTTTTTCTTGAAAATTTGCCTAAGTTACACAGTGCTAAACAGTTCATCAAGCACTTACTTTTGTGAGCTAATGTCTAATAAATTAGGGTGCCTTCTTCTGGTTTTTCTTTAGTACCCAAGTCTATGTTGTATTTTCCTTGTGTTTTGAAGTTTACTTTGCAATGCTCTGTTGTTAGGGAATACAGTTTTTTAGGTCAGAATTTTCATTGTTTGATTCGCCATAAACATGCACTGTAATGTTACATGCCCCTTTTTTGAAGCATGAGCTTTGAATTAAGTTTTTATAAATCTAACTAGAGAGACCCCTAGATTCTGGTTTAACAACAGATTTCTGTTGCCTCTCCGTCCCTATTCTGACAGTGCTTTTGAAATTTATACAGACGGCTTTAAAAGTCAGTTTTTATTCTTATAACTGCTAAGATACCTCTGTAAGCCTTATCCTTTGTACTTTCATAAGTTGTACAATAAATGTATAGAATTCATTTTTCAACTAAAATGTTGGGTACCTGTAAATGAGACCAACATGTGGGTTGCTTTTTTTTATAAAATAATTTTTATTGGGAGTTACTGTTAAATGAACAGCAGCTAACCTATAACTTGTGAATGCTTTGTGTCGTCAGTATTTGCATTCATAAACATATGCAAGTCCTGTGACTCCCAGCTTAACTGAAATGCTGTTATGCTCCCTAACTTGAGTACAGCACACTGGTTTGAGTTTTTCATGGAATTGGTGTAAAACAATATCCCATAAATAAAAAAGTATTTGTGTTTGATTGCAAAAAATAAATAAAATGAAAAGAATGAAGAAGAGTTGGGGATGTAGCTCAGTGTGTAGGCCCTGGATTCAGTCCCTAATGTATACACATACACACACACACACACACACACACACACACACACAAGAGGAAGACATAGGATCCAGAAGAAGAGAGGTGAGGGGGATTTCCAAAGGGATGGAAAAGGCAGGGCCTGACTGACAGCCAAGTGACGACAGGAGGATGAAAGGGTCCAGAAAGGTTGGATGGAACTCAAACCAACCAAAAACATACATTGATATATTAGGGGCAGTTATATACGATCATCAGACTTATACTTAATAATATAGAATTATCTCTAAAAACATTGAATATATAGTCATGTACATAACGACTTTCAACTGATGGGCTGAATGTAGGATAGTTGGTCCCATAAAATTAAAGCACCTAGTGACACTGAAGACATCTTAGTTTGTAAGTACACTCTGATCTTTGCATGATAAAATCATCTAATGATGCGTTCCTCAGACCATCTCCCTTGTTCATGTGCAATTTCTTTTTTTTTTTTTTTTTACTTTTTTTCATGTGCAATTTCTTAAGTGATCTAACAAAACAATTATAAATTAATTTCAGGAAAAGCAGAAGTGTGTTTGAATGGGCAAGATCTAAATATTCTGCTTAGAAGCCCTTTAGCTGGGTGTGGTGATGTGTACTTAGAATCCCAGTCCTCAGGAGGCTGAGGCTGGAGGATTGAGGGTCAGGGTGAGTTCAAGGCCAGCCTAGGCTACATACTGAGTTCAAGGGCAGCCTGAACTGCATAGTAAGATCCTGTCTCAAAAAGCCCAAAAAGAAGAAAGCCCTTTGAAAATTTATTAAACTAAAAGATGGAAGAATGGCGGTAAAAGCATAGTGTTTAATTTAGACACAAGGAGAGAAATTCCAAGGAAACATCTTTTTTTTTAGAAGGCGAGAATGCGCCACCTGCCTTGCAAGCACAAGGGCCCGAGTTCGAACCCCCAGTACCAAAAAAAAAAAGGTGAGGATAGGGTAAACCCACTTTCTGGACCTCTTACTGTCTGTCTTAGGCAGAAACTCTCTCAATAAGTTGTTCCTACTCTTAAGAAAAAAAAAAGTGAAGATAAAGAACTAATCTTTTTCATTACCCAGTAATCCTTTTAAAACTTCATGCATTTTTCACTTTCTAAAAACTTTTTTTTTTCAAAAGAAAACTGGGGCCCATGTGTGAGTCTGTTGGCACCAGGGTCCTGCTCCCAACTCACATGGGTAACAGGTTTTTCTATACTGACCCCGAGTCAGGTATTTACTCTGCCTGTAGAGGAATCTGTAGGTACAGGGAGAGGTGGGGCTGGAAGTGGGGCCAAATGACAGAGAAGTGGGCCAAGGAACCTAGAAATGGAGGAAATATTCCTGGCGGTAGATTCTCGCTTTCCATCCCTGAGAACATGTCTTTGATCTTCATACCCAAACAAGAGTCCATCCAGGGAGGGTGGGAGGGCATGGAAAAAGGAAGAGAAAAGATGGAGAGGAATTTACAAGTGGCTTTGGCTGTTATCTACACATTACTGAGAAGGAAGGACAAGTTCAAGTCCTGCTAGTAGCCATGTCTGCTGGCAGAACTTTTTATAGAAATTTGGTAAATAGGTCAAAACTCACCCAGTACTCCCATGTTCAGAAGTTTGTATCCACCAAAAATAAGAGCACAAGGCCACAGGATATAAAAGCAAAGATGTTCTGTACAGCGTTATTCAAAGAATCATGAAGCAGGTACTTTTATTTTATTCTATTTTATTACTGTATGTGAATACTACATAATG